CGGCGGTCGCGCCACCCGCAGAACCTGCAGCTCCGGTGGTACAAACGGAAAGTAAACCTGCAGATACAAATGTCGCTCCAGTTCCAGCGGTTGCCCCGGATGCTGCGAAGGTGAGAGTCTGGCGGTAAGGTTAATGAGGCAGATATCTGCACAGATCAGATATCTTTGAAATATGTTTGTTCTGAAAAATCACAAAATGGCTATGAAGGCAATATGAGCAGCGCAACCTGTTCATTATAGCTCACTTTTTTCATCTTTTTCGAAAACAGCGAGCGGTTAACAAGCGGGCGAGCTTTGCAAAGGTTTTTTCATAAATTTGACAGGAATTGGTTGCTTTCTTTGCTTTTGTTCTAGTTATTCGAAGATAAAATCTCAAAAAACAGTAAAAATGAATAAAAAATTGTTCTATATCGGTTTTCGATATTTTTATCTTTTCTTTTCCAAGTAACTGACTGGCTGCTGATGTCGCGCACGATACAGTGTTATGAAAAAGCTCAATTGTTTCGACTTTTTCAGTTAGTCAGTCTCGACGTCGCTCCAAATATCAAAGACTTGCCTTTCTTCTCAGAATCTGTCAAATTTTCTTTCAAACTGATTCCACTATGTTCAAATGCGTCTTGTAATCAATGGGATAGTATGATTTTCTCAAAGATGGAACAAACAAAAAGGAACAAACATACATTAGATAGAACAGGTGATATTCACTCATTCGTGCGGTACGAGACCGTGCCACAATTCAAATCCTAGTGTGAAAAACCTCATTCAGCAGCTTTTCATTTGTGGTTATAAATAATTATTTATCAACAGTAACATTGCAATACCAATTGAGCAATGGTACGCAATTAATATTACAGGTCAGTTCGAAATATTTGGATTATGATCGTTTTATCAGATCAATTCAAGGTGGTTGATTATGCAAAGACTACCGCGAGTTTTCGCATTTCGATACTAGCGACCAACGTTAAGCATTTTCAATCGCAACCATCGCAACCATCAATCTATCGCAACCAAATTTGGGCAATTCCGATCTGTACGTCCAAAATGCGATAAACCTAGACTTTGCCCACGTCTATTAAACCCTATTCAGAGTAGGAGTTTTGGGTGGCGCGACTTTTGAAGCATGAACTAGTCTGACAGATATCGGCCCGCGAACTAAATTACGGCTTTCCCATTATATCCGCCCAGTCTAGTAGTAGCCAAGTATTTAGCTCCACCCCACTAGAATATTTGGCTATTTTCCCCTTTCCCCACCTTTCAATTTCAATTTTCGGAAACTACCTTAACCTTGTCATAATGCATTAAAACTTAGCTTGGTGAACAAACTAACAATTTTGAACACAGTAGTTTAACAAATTTGTTCGACATAGCTCAAATCGTAACATCACGCATTTTGCTATAATAACAAGTAAAACAACTAGAATAAGAGAAAGTTTAAAAGGTGGGGGAAAATGGATCTGGAAATATGTCAAACTCTGTTTAAACTATTTTATTTGGTTTATAAAGTCCTGCAGTGTCCATTTTAGGGTTGGAATTTTTTGTGTAGACTGGGTATTGGGTTCTTAAGAACTGCGCGTGAAAAATAGCAAACCAATAATAAAAAAATTTTAAGCGCTGAGCTACAATATATTGTCTGATAGGGAAAGCACGCACTCAAATTATTATCTTGAACATAGATTGGGCTGGTGATTAGTTTTAAAAGGTTTTAAACTTTAGTCTCCTCCCTTTCAGCAAAATCAGGCCAAATTTCTGGCCTCGCTAAGTCTTTAATTTATTCAAACTACCAGAAGTAGAAATTACGTTTGCGATAAGCACAGCACGCGTTACCAAATCGGAATGAAGACTTTTTCGGGTTAACAACTACAGTAGTTTGACAAATTCAGTTATATCACTTATGCTGCTGCTATGCTGCTGACATGCTCAATTTCATGAAACGCTAAAAATTTAACTACTGACTGGGTAATAATTACCACAGGGTAGTTTCAGGATGGAGTTGAAAACATTTAAAAAATTTTACAAAATCTTTTTTTTTTTTTCAGCTCAGCTGGTGTCTGCTCAAAGATTGTCGACATTGTTTCACCTTCATAAGTTTTGTTCAGTAGCTAATTTGAATTTTCAAGATTGGCATGTTTGCCTAGAATTGCTTGTTTGTTAAAAACAGGTATTATGAAAATATACGGAACCGGCAATTCTATTTTATTGATTTTTTTGGGACGCTTTGGCAAAAGTTTTCGCTTTTCTGAAAAAATATATTTTCTTTTCTCAAAAACTACTAAATCAAATTTTAAAAAAAATTGTACCGATGCAAAATCCGCCCACTCTCCTATCTGCTTGCTTAAACCCTTAGTCTCTTTTTACCTTACCCATTTTTCTATAGCCTTCGAAAAAGTGGGATGAGTTTTTTACCCATATTAATGATTTTTTACATGTTCTCAAAAACAACCTGCCCAAATCTGAGATTCCAATTTCAATTAAAAAAACAATAAAAATTTAAGGGAAGCTTCCCTGCATGAGCGGATACGCGCAATTTTTTACAGAAAAAACTTAAGGCTCTCAGAAAACTTAAACTTTCAGTATTTGATAGATTTTTTCGAAACTTTGTGACTTTTCTCGAAAACTGCCATGAGAGCTTTTGATTTTATTCAAAAGGACGGGTTATGAGAAACGCTCATGCATGAGTGGCTACGCCCAAATGTTTTTCTACTTGACACTAGGAAAAGTCGATGTTTTGATTTTTTGAAGGTTTAATTGTAGGCTATTTGACTTTTTCGAAAACTACTCCACCAAGTCTGAGTTTTTGATTCTAATCGAAATTACGAATTTTTGGTATTTTGGAAACCTCCCATGCTTAAATACGCCCTAAAATTAGCATGAAAATGTTATGTCTTGAGGAAAATTTCAAATTCTCAAAAATTTCATTCATTTTTTTAGAGCAACAACTATGGTTTTGGGCGAAGCCCATTTTTCAAAATTATGTATTTCAAGAAAGGGTACCCATAGAAAGACCACCTACACTATTGTGTGCCTGCATACTCTCTGGTCTCTTTTTGTTTTACCCCTTTGTCTACAGCCTTCAAAAATTGTCTCTGTGGGCCTTTTGACCGATATTTTTGATTTTTTAGTTTTCTCAAAAACTAACCTTTAATTTCTGAGATTTATGCTTAAATAATAATAGCTGATTGCAAAAGCTCCCCTCCATAAGCAGCCATATCGAAACTTTTTAACACAAAATTGTCGCCCTCGGAATCGTGAAATTTTTGATTTTTTAACCACTTTTGAATTTTTTTTATCAAAAAAAAAAACCTCGCAAACCTAGGTTTTTGGGTTCAAACGAAAATACAAGTATGAAGAATCTCTTCTGCATAAGCGGTGAGCGGCTACGCTCATATTTTTTGAACAAAAGATTTTTTTCGGAAATGTTGATTTGTTGACCGTCTTTTGGACTTTTCTTGATAAATATCCTGCGAAATCTGATATCATAGGTTTCATCGACAAAACAGGTATTTAAAAGCTTTCTGTTAAAATTCGCTAGGCCGTGTAATTATGGAAACAAATGGCCTTCAAATAAGTGAAAGTTTTGAAATTTTGATCATTTTGTGGAAGTTTTTTTCTGATCGAAATATACCGTTCCAATTCTCAGGTTAAAAGTTCAATCGAGAAAGTCGGAGTTGAGCCGAGTCGAGAAACTTGAACGTTAAGGATTTCAGGGCTCTTTTCCAGTTTCCCCCCCCCCCTTTCATTTTTTCTGAAATTCATTACATGAAAGTCTTTTTAAAATAATTTTTAATGTTATAAACTGCATTATAACGTGTCAACGTGAACAGCTGAACAAATTTTCACAACATTTTTAACATGAAAATTGCCGTGTGAACAGTTTTTGAACATCTCTTTTTCTAATTTAACAAGGGGGGGGGAACTGGAAAAGAGCCGATTTCAGAAAGTCAAGAGATGAAAATTTCGGCTCTTGTTCAACTAGTTGGCTCTTTTCCAGTTTCCCCCCCCCCCCTTTTAAGATACCGAGTTTTATGTTTGTTTTACGTGTTATTACGGCTAAATGCGTGATGTTACGCTGTAAAGTATGAAGAACAAATCTGTTCACAGTTGTCGATTTGTTCACCATGCCAAATTTCATTGCATTATGACAACGTTAAATAAGCTTTTCAAAATTGAATTTGAAAGGGGGGGAAACTGGAAAAGAGCCAACTAGTTTTATCAACATTTTTTTTCGTTTAATTTTCCGAATTATTATGATTGTGTTGTATCTCAAGTAGTGCGAAGCTCCATTCCCCTCTGCGTATTGATCTCTCCCAAATAAGCCACAGCAGCATACTGATTTCCTCCAAACAAGTCACGATAGAATCGGAAAAAATTTTTGTTCTGGAGCATTTTACCATTATTACCTTTCAACATAAAAACACAAGATTGCTCTTCTTTGTTTCGTAAAAGTACTGCTTGTTTGTGCGTGGGGGGACGTAAAAAATATTAATGTGGTGGGTTTATAGTGTTTTGTTAGTAGGCTGGGGTGGGGGAAGGAAGGAGTTTTATAATCATAAATAACCGGCTACTATGCAGGGGGTTATGACGAAAAAATAACTTCATGAATTAGGAACGATATTAGCGTGTTCCGATTTTTGAGATAAAGTATCGAACTCATTTATGCTTTAGTCATGCGCACATATATGGAATCTAACTTTGACTCTTGGCAACAAAAAGATTTTCCATTTTCTGACTTTTAGTCACACGTGACTTCTGTTTGTTCATGCCTGGCATTTAGCTTCGACACAGATTGTTAACTCAACATAGAATATACCCGCCATTAGCGCTCTTATACGCAGTGCGACTACAGACAAAAACTTGAAAAAACTACTCGAACAACCATCCTAAAGGTACCATTTCGGCGGTTTCTTTGTCTTATAATCTATTTGGTTTGTTACCCAATTTTGTCTGTTAACATTACCACTGACAAAGCAGTAGAACGAGCATATCTGTGCTGTGTGCTCTAGGTCACGGAATCCGAGCAAACCGAGGAATCCCTGAAGAGTATGTCCAAACAGCAGGCAGAGCAGGAGCACCAAGGACATTACACGTGTTGGAACTGCAACGAAAGCCTCAGTGGCCAGCGCTACATTATCCGGGATGAGAACTCGTACTGCATAAAGTGTTATGAGGAGCTATTCGCCAACACTTGCGAAGCTTGTGGCCAGAAAATCGGCACAGACTCGAAGGTAACAGGGGAGACTTTTGGATGTGCATGATATCCCTGAGGGATCGGGCATCTAAATCCATTCTGACTATTTTGTAAATCTCTTTGCTATATATATATAACCCCTTTCCTACAGCTTAGTAGAGTAGCGATAAGTTACCGCATTATCAGTACTTGGCTTTGGTTTTGATGATAGGGAAAGAGTATCTCAAAGTGAAAATATACACTAGTGAACGAAATTAAACGCAAATTCAAGGTTTCACTCTTTAAAATGCCTTTTTTAAAGTTCCGTTTTTGACAACATTTATTCAGAATTTCAACCAAAACTTATACATCGACCAGCTGCAAATGATCTAAACTACACTCTCTGAAAGTTTCAATTTTGGATTTGAATCACTTACCAGTTTTTTCCAGGTCTGAAAATGCCATTTTTCACCATTTGTCATGGGGTTTCTATGGTAGTGAACATTTTTTTGAATAAGCAGAATAGTAAAAACTGATCATGCAATGTGAATCATTTTAAACGAGTACATTTCATTGTTCAGTGTGATAACTTTCCTAAGTGCTGTTGTTTCACATAATTTCACACCGTTGGAAAAATCTATTACAAATGGTGAAAATTGGCATTTCAGACCTGGAAAAAACTGGTGAGTGATTTAAATCAAAAACTGAAAATTTTCAGAGAGTGTAGTTTTTATCATTTGCAGCTGGTCGATGAAAGAATTTTGGTGAGTTTCTGAATAAATGTTGTCCAAAACGGACCTTGAAAAAAGGCATTTTTGAAAATAAAAACGTGAATTTGCGTTTACTTTTGACCACTTGTGTACTAGTGGACAAAATAAGCGCAATTTTAGGTTTTTAGTTTTAAAATATCTAGCTTTAAGAATCATTAAGATCATTGTTTACTCGGAATTTCAACAAAATTTTTATAGCGGGCGACAGCAAATGATCTGGCTCTTTTCCCACCCCCTCGTAAAATTTCAATATAAAGCTGTTCCAAAATTGTTCAAAAAGCATTTTGCACGTAAGAAAGGCTGTGAAAATTTGTTCACTTGTTCACGCTGACACTTTTAATGCATTTTATAACATGAAAAGTCATTTGGCTCTTTTCCAGTTTCCCCCCTTTCAAAATCAATTTTGAAAAGCTTATATAACAATGTCATATTGACAATGAATTTTGGCGTGGTGAACAAATCGACAATAGAAAAACGTCACGCATTTAGCCGTAATAACACGTAAAACAAACTAAAACTCGGTATTTTGAAAAGGGGGGAACTGGAAAAGAGCCAGTCATTTTAATTAAGTTTTCATATATTAAATTTCCAAAAAAATCAAAGGGGGGACTGGAAAAGAGCCAATGAACTAAACTAGCCTCTCTGAAAGTCTCAATTTTTGATTTGAAGAAGCAGTGACAAAGTTTTTCCGTGTTTGAAAAGGCCAATTTTCACCAGTCTGCGCTAAGTTTTGCAACGTTAGTGAACTCTTTGTGGATTAAGCGGTGTAAAAAAGTTGTTCATGCGACGTGAAAAGTCTCAGCTAGAAAAACTAAATAATCAGTTTGAGTTTCCTTAAACTCAGCTGTTTCTACAATCACGCGTTTTGAAAAACTTAGTGCGAATGATGACAACTAGCATTTTCAAACCTGGAAAAAATTGGTCAGTGCTTCAAATTTGAAAATGAGCATTAGAAACAAGAGCATTAGAAAATGAGTTGTAAGATTTATTATTTTTTGAATTTTACGCAAACTTCTGCCATTTTATTAGAAAAATGAGCTCTTTTCCAGTTTTCCCCCTTTTGAATTTAATTTTGAAAGCAAATTATGAAATTTGGCGTGGTGAACAAATCGATAACTGTGAACAGATTTGTTCTCCATACTTTACAGCGTAACATCACGCATTTAGCTGCAATAACACGTAAAACAAACATAAAACTCGGTATTTTGAAAGGGGTGAAATGGAAGAGAGCCGAAAAATGTTTGGTACATCACAATCTGCGGCCAAAAACTAACGTAGAAGAAACCAATTCATATCTGTTTTGGAAAAATTTATCTTATTTTTGTTATGAATTTCTCTATTTGCGTAATGTTTTTGCTCCGTTATCTTAATTCACGCTTTTTTAATGTCCCCAAGCACGCAAAACAATTTGTTAAGTTCAACTAGTTTTATTATTTTTGTCAACATTTTTGGGGGGATTTTGTTACTTGCTTTTATTCCCACTTTATTTTGTTTTGTGCGGAAGGCAAAAGAACCGAAATGAAGCTTAAGAAAAGCGTTTTTTAGTTCAGTTTTAACTCCGTAGATAATAGCAATTCAATTCTTTAGTTTTCTATCTTCTTAGTTTCAAGTTTTATCTTTGGTACTTTTTCATATCCCCACTTTTCAGTATTTTTGTTCTCTTAGTTGTTTTACAGCTATAAGCCGTTTTTATAGCTAAATGCGTGGAATCTGTTTGCAATTTTTAGTTTGGTCATCGTGCGAAATTTCATCATTGCGTTATGAAAAAGTGAAATAGGGTATCAAAACTGAAATTCATTTTTGGGGAGGAACGTGAAAAAAGGCCTACTTTTATTTTCTTTGGTTAATGTGTATTAACATCTTTAAAACTAGATGTTATCTTTTAAAGCGGAAAACCGATTTTCTTGCAATTTTAAGGTTGCTCATCAATCAATTTCTCACTGAATTATAGCTACGTTCATTAACTTCTGCAAAATAAAACGTTTTGTTCTTACGACACTCAAGACCTGTTTTTAAAGATCTGGCATAACGGTCACTCTGAAGTTGATTACAAATTAGTGAAAATGGTTAGAAAAATTCCCATTTCAACTGAAAGCATGACTCTTTTTTCGTACGCCAAAACTAAAAATAAAAACATAAAATTTTTGTGTCGCATAATCCGGTTTTTACAATTGTTCGCAGCATCCGATTCTTGTCGTAACGTGTGGACTAACTAAACTACAATAAACAGATTGTAATGTCAAAAAATGTCAATTTTTACGATCAAAAAATTACTGTTATTTTTTGATCGGAAATTGTGTATCAACTTAGTTTATGATAAAACGGAAGTGCATATAATTCAAAAAACAACTACAAAAAGCTCAAGTCTTAGCACTCTATAAAAATAAACTGGCGCGCTAATTTTTTGCAACCGCGCAAGTAAATATGATCTGAATTTGCGTCTTTCACAAAATGAAGAAAAAAAAACTTCGAGTAACCACTGGTATTTTTTGGGATAAAAATAGGCATAATTTTTTCCTCCTATATTGGGCTTTTTTCACCTCCTCCCATTTGAGTTTCGTTTGTTTCAATCGAGTCAGTAAAAAAAATGTGCTAAAAAACTGCTAAAAAAACTAAAAGACAAGTAATGAAAATTTTTAAGATCACAAGGTTTTGTTTCTGAGCTTTGAAAATAATTTGGTTGCACTGCTTTTTTCTCCAGTTTTTTTGGTTGCTTATTGAACCGTGTAAAACAACTTGTAAAGAGAAATTTGTAAAGAAATAACTGAAATGTTCAATACTTGGAATATTTAGTACTTTATTACCTGTTCGGAAAGAGTTTTTTTTTTCATTTGATTTAGTTTAATTGATTTAGTTTTTAATAACTTAAAGCAACTTTAGTTTACTTTTCGCTCATTTTTTTAAAATTGACCGGATGGCTTATTACCTTATAATCTTTTTCCTCTTCTCATACGTGTTTTTCAAGTAAAATAATTTTTCACTTTGTCCGATTGTCATGAAATTTGACATGCAGACAGATTAGGCAATGCAAACATATTTGGTCGGCATACGTAACCTTGAAAGACTACTCAATACATCATCAAATTGATGCCCTTGCGAGGTGGGAGAAAAATAAAAAAAGTCCAAACCGTTTCCCTGGTAAGCAATTTTATTAAAGTAATGGCTTCAATGTTGAATTAATGAGGCGGGGAAACAGTAGAAGAAACCAACAATAAATTATTTGTTCAATAAGCATTTTTCATTCCAAATGGAACCTTCATAGCGATAAAATTGCTTGCCCAGTTTGACAAAGTTCTCAACCGTGGCTGCTTTTGCTTACAGAAAGCCTGAGGTAAACTTAATTCGTATGACAAAAACAAAATTTTTCGACCTGCATAAATTTTCGATGCATTTTCATCTAACGAAATGTTGATATGAACTACTCTCAAACACTTTGGTTTTTAAACTGCTATCCGCAATAAAGGTTGCTAGTATCGCTTTCAATTATTTTGTTCAGTTAGGACAAAATCTAAAAACTAGAATGGTTAAATTCTTTTGGAAAAACTTATTTCATATAATTAAAATTTGATGTTTTAAAGGGGGTACCTTGCATCAATCTTGAGTGATCAATTTTAAACTTGTGGGGTGTTTCCCATTATAGCCCCATCAACTTAGTAGCAAAAATATCATAGCCCTTACGGTGTGTCAATTTTTATTAGAAGACCGAGAAACAATTGTTGTGTCTTCATTCTTAACTGCATTCGTACAAAAATGCAGGGAAAAACTTATTTCATTTAATTAAAACTTGATGTTTTAAAGAGGGTAGCTTGTATTAATTTTCAGTGATCGATTTTAAACATATTTCGTCTTCATATTGTACCATGTAAAACCCCTCTTTACTCCATAAAACTGACTTTTATGTGAGGTGTGGGAGAAAAGAAAGAGAAAGCGAAGACAGTTTTAGTGCTGAGTGCTTTAAAGAGTAATAAACCTTTCTGTGGTCAATCCACCTCGATTATTTGACCGCCAACCGATCCGGCTGATTTTCGAAAAAAAAAATAGTTCATATCGACGGTCCAATTTTTATCAAATAATTTTCTATGCGCGATCTTGCTTCTTTCTGTTTCCCTCTACAGCTGAATTTTGACCCATGCATTTAATTTGACGTTTCAAAAATGCAAAGCAATTTTGCATGATCAAATAAATAGTTCCGAACGAATTTTTTGCATACCTCAAAATGTATTATCACCCATCTGGTCAAAAACTGATCCATAATACAAATGTGGGAGGAAGAATTCTAGCGTTCAAATCTTTGTATAGGTGGTGATGATTTTTTCTTTCAATTTTTTTTCCAGTAAACGTCTTACAAAAATTTTTCAGGCTTAAATTATTTTTTTTCGCGGTTTGATTTTAATTTCTTTATGAGTTCATTTTACTCTTTTTAGATGAAAGGCAAACTCTACGTTTGAACAGCAAAATTGTAGAAATCACAAAAAGATGATCTACTTCTAATTTCGAAAATGAAATTTACTTATCAGATTTCCCAGCGAACTGAAAGCTTTACCTATTGATCCAGTATTCTCAAAGGTGGTTTAGTTTAATATAAAAAGTGTCAGTCATTATTTGTTTTTCTAGAAGTTCAAAGAGTTTCAGGGCCATTCCGTTTTTTTGAATTTTCAAGGTAAAATTTTCCAAGGACTTTTTTGTTCTTTTGCACTTTTTTTCACCTTTCGATTTTAAATTTGAAAAAATATTTTAGCGCTGTCAAAGTGGAATGAAAATTGGAATGGTGTACAAATTAACGATTTTCCTTCAAGATTTAGATTTTCATCGTAACATGACGAACTTTACCCTAATAACACGTAAATCATCAAGAAAAATAAGAAAGTTTGAACAATGGGGGAGTGGAAAAGAGCCAAAATCTGAATGATTTCTATTTTCAAAAACAGATTTTAATTTTATGAATTCCCAGAGGAATTTAAAAAATTACTCATTGATCCAGTTTTCTCTAAAAGGTATAACTTTAAGAAAAATGCCAATAATAAAAAAGTTCATGAAATTCAGAGAAATTTAACTTCGTAAATTTGGAACTCGTTCAAAAACGTTCAAAAACTTTTAATTTATTTATTTTTTCGGTTTGCTTGAGTTTTTTTCATTTTCCCATTCATATGTTTGGCTATGTTTTAATTCTTGAAGATGTTGCCAGTTTGGAAATAGTGTTTCCAGTGTAAAACAGTTAAACTATGACTTTTTTTCTCAAATAACCAGTTGAGTTATTGCCACATGTCAGAAAAATTTTTGCATCCATTGGATTGTGTCGTTTGTAGGATTTGTCGTACAAGGATAAACATTGGCACGAGAGATGTTTCAAGTGTTCGAACTGTGACGTCTCGCTAGTGGACCGACTGTTCGGGTCCCGCAATGACGCCCTCTTCTGTGATAACTGCTACGACGAGAAGTTCGGTGCCAAGTGCGACGGATGCGGTGCTGTGTTCAAAGCAGGTAATTACAGAATTGATCTTACCACAAGTGCTCGTATCTGTGCGAAGCCCTGAATGCACTGACTGCATTTTATTTTCTATGGTGCTGATTTACAGTAATGCAGTGCTGATTCAAGTTATCCGGGCGAAACGAATGAAAATTGATATTTAATACGCGTTTTTCTCAAATTGGGTAAAATTTAGACGAAAAAGGACGAAGACAAATATTGCTAAAATTTTACAGAAATAAAATAGCGCAACTTGGTTAAAACTCGTACCAACTCAAAATTCGTGCCCAAAACTATATTTCTTTTCAACCTTATCACTGCACGCCTGTGCAAATATATCACTGCAAACTTCTAATGTACTCCAACAAATATTAAGAAAAATGTAATTTTCTCAGCTTTGTATAAACATATTTAATTTTGTTTCATAGCCAAAAAATGTCATTTTTACTATATAAAACACCATTTGTTTCTATTAAAAAGATTTTAAAAACCGTTTGCGCCCATTTATAGAGATTAAATCTTGTTAAATTTTGTTGGGCTATATAAAAAGCTTGCAGTGACATAGTTTTGTCAGTTAATGAACAAATAAGTTTGGATTAATTTTGATTGACTAAAATAAGCCCAAAATGATTGTTTTTGCGGTAAATTTTTGGGCCCCAATTTTGAAAAACGACTTGCACCATATTAATTTTAAGCAAGATTGGTTGTAACCATTTTTTCTCTAAAATTAACCCAATTTGAGAAAAACGCATTTCAAATTTCAAGTTTTATTCGTTTTGTTTGGATAATTCCCCCACACGTTATTTGAAGTACAAAGTGATATATTTTGAATATAGCAAAGTATTAAATAGACCAAAACGCAAGCCTCAATTCAGTTTGGAACGATTTCTAAGATGGATTAAATCTGCGCTTACGAGTTACTACGTCGAAGTATATCGCACAGTAACTGTCTTAATTTGGCCAAATTGGCAATCGTTAAAACCCGCAAATTTGCCAAAATTGATGAAAAATGAAGTTTTTTTGAACTCAGAACAACAATTTTGAATGAAATAAATAAGTTCTATTAAAAAACTGCTAGTTTAAAAATCGAAATTTTTGGGGAGGAAAAAAAATTCCCCGAATTTAAATTATCCGTAATTTTTTATAAACAGTTGGAAAAACTAGAGAACCATTTTTTTCATTAGACTTTTGAAGCTTTCGAAAAAAGTGAGGAATATATTTTCTCGTGGTGTTTTTTCATTCAGATTAATTTCACAAAACTTTTTGCTCCCTAAGGGGATCGCTTCCTTGATCTGCATGGTCCTAGCTGCATGTGCTCACCACTATAGTATCCTGCCATGAGTCCTGCAAACCTGCTCGTTTTGTATTTTTACACGTGGCAAATTATCCCGCTCTACAAATTTTTTTCAAACTGAGTTGAGGCAATAACTAACTGCTCTTATTAAAATTGGACATAAAATTTGACAGCTCAAAATTCATAGTTCGCCAATAATAATTTCCCTAAACTTGTTTGAGACCCATTAAAGGGCAGTCGGATTATTCAGGGCTTCGCCCTGATACGAGCAGTCTTGTTTACTTAAAAGCAGGGTTTAAAACTTGATAAAGTCGTTATTCTTTAAAGATACGCAATTGCCGGGATACATTTTAGACATCACTTTGTTATTTTCCTTACTCTGACTGTGTTGTATTGTGTACTGTTTGTTTGTTTGTGTGTGCTTGGTATGCAGGAATGAAGAAGCTGGAGTGGAATGGACAGCAGTGGCATGAGGAGTGCTTCAAGTGCACCAACTGCAGCACAGTCATCGGCTGCAACAGCTTCATGCCCAAGGACAACCAGCCCTACTGCATACAGTGCTTCAACGACCTATTTGCACCCAAGTGCAAGGCATGTGCTCAGCCCATCATGACCGGAGGAGTGCTCTACAGGAACGAGCCCTACCATCGCGACTGCTTCGGATGCACTAACTGCAAGAACAATCTCGTCGGCCAGAAGTTCACCTCACGCGACAACAAGCCCTACTGCGCCGACTGCTTTGGCGAACTGTTTGCCAAGCGTTGCACGGCATGTAACAAACCGATCACAGGTATGTTATCATAAACAAAAATTTCACTTTTAACAAAATCACAACTAAGGGCTGTATTAGTGGCTAAGTTGTCGTTTTCCTAGGCAAAGTTATCGGCCGGGTGAGACGGGGTGGGGTTATGATCAGCGGAAAGAAATATAGCATAATAATTTGCTAGCATAATTTGTTAGATTGTTCAACATGCAATACTGGGTGTGAAAAGATTTTGTCCCTTTTACCAGCAGATTTGGTCCCATTTTTAGACTCGATCTGCATCATGACGAAATCTGCGCCAGTCGCAAATTTCATTACATAATGACGATGTAAGTCTAGGTACTCAAAATTGAAAATTCTAAGATGTTGGGGTGGCAAAGAGCCGATAATCTTCATTCATGAAGGCAACAGAAGGTATTGAAATCATATATGGCGGCTTTCTTTCTTTCACTCCTGTTGCCAGTTTTCTCGTTGTCGGAGAAGAAGATATACTATGCATTAAATTTGTTTAGGCATTGGCGGTACGAAGTTTATTTCGTTCGATGGACGCCACTGGCACAACGAGTGCTTCAACTGTGACGGACCCAACTGCGGGGAGAATCTGGTGGGCAAAGGCTTCATCACAGACCAGCAGGAGATACTCTGTCCCAACTGTGCCAAACTGCCCTACACTAAGAGGGAGGAGCTAAGACAACAGGCCATACAGTCATGATGGGCCATACATACATTACACCATACTACACCACAACATACTAAACAGAAGAAAACAGAAACTAGAACAGGCCAGCTATATGTAGTCATTTATCCTCTCATTCACGAACAACACAACCTGAAACAGCATAATAACATCACCAACAACTGCACAGGTTGTTCGTTATTTAATCGTATGGGGGACAAAGGTGACTCTTCTGAGTACGGGATTCAATTTTCTACCAAAAACTTTAGTTGAAAACGTTTTTCTTTTTGTAAAAAATATACACTGGTTCATGCAAGCGGCCTTTGTCCGATTATAACCACAGACAACGTCAATTAACCTAATCGGCTCTGAACTAGTTACCAATATCAGTTATTTCCAAGATGAAAAAATAATGCTTGTGGTTATGATTTGGCATGTGAATTTTTATGGCATAGTATCTGGTTCTCAACTTATATTATGTTATCTATGATTGATTACAGATTAGAGGGGATGAAAATGTTCGCAATAACTATACTAGTGTGTTAAATGAGTATATTTCTTTGTAAAATGCTTGTTAAGTTTGGCGTTTTTATATAAGGCTAGAAGGATTTGTCATGACGTTGCGTCTTCACAACATCATCATATGGCCTATGACTACTTTCCTTATCAAGTTTATTACTTCATGTAATTGATTTATTGCCAAATTTGCAATCAAGAATTCCGACAAAAAGGTCGGATTTACAATTAATTCAACCAATTTTCAAACACCTCTTTTACATGTGTACTTTTTTTTAAAATACCGCATACCGTATCTAACCCGAGAAAAATCATTAAATAACAAGGATAGCCGGTTGCTGCGCATGTAGCACAGAAAGTTCCGACCATATTCTGAACATAAAATACATTAGTAGTATTTTTCATTTGTTTCACATTAATGTTTTTTTTTGTGCGTAGTATTATGAAAGGATCTGAAGAAAACCTAAAATTTAATTATATTCAACTGTCACAGTAAAATCGGCGAATCAGGCTACGGACTAAAAAACAGCAAAAACAAAATTCAAAATTTTTTAATTTTTGCATAGTGTTTTTTGAATTTTCGAAGTTTTTTATTCCAAAAATGATGCTAAAAAAATTCATTTTTTTTACTTAAGTTCAATGGCTTATCTTATCCTTCTATCATAAGCCTGCTCGCTTGCGCTCGCTTTAATTGCTGCAAACTAGACTAAAATTGAGAAACATTCACACCGGTTTTTCTCGACACTGACACAACTTTTTGAAATTCTTTTAAACGTCGTTGGAATTAAAATTGAAAGTACTTTATCATCACATAACTCCCTCCATTACGATTGTTTCTGGCCAACTTTTTAGTCGAAAAAAAATTAGCCTACTCGCTCAACTTAATTGCTCAAAGTTAGACCAAAAACAAAAAATTCAAACTGGTTTTTCTAGGAACTGAGAGAAATTGTTGCAACTTTTAAATGCCGTGCGAATCACAATTATAAGCAGGGGCGGATTTAGGTGGGGGGGGGGGGACCCCTTGTTGACCCAAAGGGTCCCCCCTTTGGTACTTTTAAGTAATCCAGTTTTGGCCGACCAACCTTAAAGTTTTTCTAAAGGCGCCTTTGGCGCCAATATATATTAATTTTGAGGCGGGAGCGCGCGCTGAAAAAACGCAATTTTTCGGTCAAAATTTTCCAAAAAGTGCCTAAAAACGCCTTTTTTGGGCCTATTTTTTTAAAATTTTGCCTGCAGCGCACAAATTTTGGCCCAAATAGGAATAAAACAGTGCTTTGGGAGAGCTCGAAAAATCAATTTGGTCGACCTAAAAAAAAAGGTCGACAAAATTTTCGAAATTTTTTTGAAAATCCGCCCCCCCCCCTCGATAAAATCCTAGATCCGCCCCCTGATTATAAGGATTTTTTTTGTTATATCACTCAACGCACTCCACTGATTATTTGCGGCACCTTATCTTGAGTGTAAAACATACCCCAATGCAGAACAATGGTCGGTTTTCAATGGTCGGAACAACAAGCATTTATATTTCTTCGAAAGTCGGAACAACCGCAATAATCATAATAAATTTGACGAGACAAACAAATAGATACAATATGGAGATATGATTAAATCTGTCAAAGTACTGTTTAGAGTGGTCACCCTTAAACAATCGGCTTTTATGAAAATGCCTCGAGAGAACAACGATTCGGTAGGAAATTTCAGTTGAAAAAGAGATGTGGCACTGTCGTGCAACTAAATGAAAAAACACAATAAAAAAACGCAGGATGATTGAGCAATTTTTGGGAACTTTTTTACTTCTCTAGAAAACTTACCTGCCAAGTCCCAGATTGCGGATTCAATCAAAACCACAGGAAGAAAAAAAAGCCTAGAGCTGCTATTTATTTATTTACATAGATGAAGCACTAAGGTTTTGGGAAAACTACATTTATCAAAAAAAATGTATGTTTTTCCTTTCGCATCAGTACCAAATACCCAAAAAGAACTTCAAGCTGGTATTTCTGCGGTAGCTGGGTCAGAAAGAACTCAAAAAAAGGTTGTGCTATCTGTTGCTAGAATTTATTGTTCACAGTTCTCATTTCAGCCCCTCTGTAGGATTACCAACAGACTTGTTGACTAATAGACATACTTGAAGCCTTTTTTATTATTGATTCCCGTTCTATTTGAAAATGGTTTTTTGTTGGTACAATTATCAACTCAAACTTATGATTTTCAATTTTTTTACTTTTGCTTTTATATATTTTGGCTTGAAGTTTTTGGCTTCTGGTATCAATGTTTAGTTTTTTCATTTAGCGTCTTTTATTGCGAAAAACATTTTCGCATGCTAGAAGGGAATTTTTTATGTGCATGGTTTTGGCTGGGACATCATATCCTTTTTTGACTCCTACCATTCAGCCCTCCCCCTTCATTGGACAGTTTTTTCAGGCTCCAATGGCTTGCTGTGAAATATGTAGAAGTGATGTGTTCAGAAGATAAAATGTTTTCAGCATGCAAAATTTTATTACCTTGTTACAACCTGAAATTAGTTTTCAAAGCTGAAATTGAAAGGTAGTGGAGATGATGAAATCCCCCTAATTGAATGTTAATTCCCTCGCAAATTGAACGAAGGTAGTTTGAGGGGAGAAACAGCTGTCTATTTAAATTTTTTTAACGCTGTTTTTCTTTCGGCTCTTTCTATTTTTTCAACCTCCTCGCAAAATTTCAAATTTTCACTCAATTTTTTGCGCGTTTTGGCTTCTCGGTTGTATGACGGAAGTTTGAAAATCGTTGTTTTAACTGCTAATTTCATTCAATAATGAAAACGTTATTTTTTAGCTTCCCATTATACTAACTCGTTTTTAAGACTAACTAGTAATATAGTTATTTAAATTTTTTTAAGAATCAAAATCAAACTTGATTTTTGAGTTTTGATTTCTATTGCTCAATATAAATATATTTGCCTAAAACAAATCGAGCGTATTTGCGAAACAAATCGAACTTAAATTGATAGTATAACCGCAAAAGAATTCTAAATTCGAAATTGGATATCGAATTTCAAAACTTTTCAATAAAAAAATTAGCTTGTGGCCTAGTTGTTCCAATTGAGGTTATATTTATCAAAAAAAACGTCAATCAATAGTTTTTCTAGAAATTCACAAAGCTTAATCATTTTTAAATTTAAACTCAGAAAGTAATAACAGAAAGTAAATACCTGCATTTTGGTCTCCTTGTGCTCCGTGATAATTTGTCTTTTCGGCATTTTTTCTAAAAGAACTTGCTGAAGTAATTGGAAGTTTTTTCAGTTTTATAAAATGTCATTGTTCCGACTTTCGATACGAAAGTAACGGAATATTTGTGCTCGGGGTGGGTTTTTTTTTCTTCAGACAAATTTCGACTTTTTAACTAGCCGTTTTTGACGGAATTTTTTTATATCATTCGAAAGCTAATGTTTTCCTGAGCTTGAATTTGGAAAGATATTTTACCTGTGATCATTTTTCGTAAAGTTATGGGGGTTTAATGATTGCCATTTTGGCCAATTTGGGACAATTAACGCGCGATAAATTTTCGCGCTATTAACGCGCGAGCGATATTTAATCCGTCTTAGAAATCGTTCCAAATTGGTTCAAGGAAGCTTATATGCCGTAATTGATTTGTTAATAGGCGCAAAATCTATCACTTTGTACTTAATATGACGTGTGGGGGGATGTTTTTACATAAAATCTCAAATTTTTTCAAAAAAAAAAATTTAATTTTTTTTTTACATTGAAATTTTTCATCTTATTAATGCTCCATAGACCTTAAAAGGTAGTCGGAACTTTCAGGGCTTCGCCCTGATACGAGCAGTCTTGTTTTTCTTTTGGTTCCGGGGAGTGTTTTGAGATTTTTGCTATTCGAACAAATCAACTGTAATAGGTTTTGGTTAAAAACTGATTATCTTCTCAGTAAATAAAATATAATTTTTTTTTGCTTGCTCATTCTCAACTGCAAAGTAAATTTCACAATCTTGCCACTTTGGGTCAATTAGCGCCATCCACTGAATTTGAAATTCTCGATAATTTTGCTGCCTACTTCCGATAAGAACGCATTATAGCGCGATCGGTGATCCCAATTAACCAAACTAAAACTATTCAATCTCTATAATTTAACAAAAAATGATCACAGGCAATAAAGATTTCGGCAAAAATGATTTTTGTTTTCAGTGGTTTGCAAAAGCTGAAAGATAAGTTTAGTCGACCAAGAAAAAAAAAGATAATATTCAAACTTGTGCGGCCGGCCTTCTGCGATATGAAAAGCGCTCGTGCAAGCAATGGTAATTTATTTTATCCAAGTAAAAGTTGCTAAAAACGGAATTTTACATAATTTCATTAGATTCTGGTGACTCCAGACCAATTTCTGCCGAACCAAGAAAAATCAAAGTTGGCCTGCGCAATCGAAAAAATTTGATCTAAAGAGTTACACAGAAAATAAGGCATTTTCTAATGGACGTTTTTGTTCCGACTTTCATTATTCGTGAGTAACGCAATATTCGTGCTCGGGATGGGTTTTTTCCTCAGACAAATTTCGAATTTTTAATTAGCCGTTTTTGACAATTTTTTATATCATTCAAAAGCTATTGTTGTCCTGAGCTTCAATTTGAAAATATTTCACCTTTGATTATTTTTTGTAAAGTTATGGGAGTTTTGGTGGGAGGGGAGATGTTTTCCCAAAAAATCTCATTTTTTATTTAATTTTATTTTATTTTATTACCTTTAACTTTCTTTCCTTTAATTAGGGCTTCTCCTTGATACGAGCAGTCTTGTATTTATTAGTCACTTTGCTGAGTCATCTGAGCTGACCAATTAAGAACGGCTTTGATTGCACCAATTTCATTTTAGATCGGAAACCAATTTCTCATTTTCTGGGAAAATTAATCAACTGTTTTACCAGTTTATGAGAAAAGTAGAACAAAAACCACTGTATAAATATGAACCAAAAAAAACTTTGTGTGAAAAGTTTACTGGACAAAACATAAAAACTTCTTTTTTAGAACGTGCGTAAATGCTCGGATTAGAAAGCCAGACAATTTTTAGTTTCATTAACAATCTTGATTTTTAATAATCTTACTTATACTTGAGCAAAAACCAAATATAAAATTTTTTGGAAACTTGCAACTTTTAGAAAAAACTCAACAAAAACTAAATTCTTTAACATGAACTAATGATCTATAACATAATTTTTTAGTTGAAAAAAAACTAATTCTCATATGATATAGTTAAACGTAAAATTGAGTTACACT